CCTGCCTCCGGTTTGCAATCTGGTAATAACTATCCTTACCTTTTCATGAAGTACGTATGTTCCGTATATCCTGAGAAATGTAGGAATTTCTGATTTCTAAAATGTGGAAATGATCAATTCTTTGTTTTACCCTTCCACCAGGAGGGTACGACCTGGCAAAAGTGAGGGTGAGCTTAAAACACGTCATCATCTCTGCTCGTCGACGGACGTTTCTTTCTTTCTTGCCCTAAGATTTGTAGTTCAAGAGGTTTCTTCGCTACATGGACATACATGGATGGAAAGGGGAGAGAATAATAAATTCCTTAAAATCACCACATTTTTCGAAGAAATTGTTGAAAACCTTGGGGAATTTGCATATTATGAAATATGAGCATGGGGGGAGTTTAGAATATTGCTTTCACATATGTATTCTGCTACTGCTGCTGGAAAACTGGCGTCTTATTTCCTTTCTTGAAGGTCATCTTGCACTAAATAGAAATTTATGGACAGAACAGTGTGAAAGGGTTCTTTAGTCTTTCGTAAAATTTTCAGTTTCAGTTTTTCGAATTCACGTCTTGAACAGAAGATTTTGAGTGAAACGACTAGATTTCTGGTGATGTACATACTTATCTACTTTACAGACATGGCATATCAGCTCTTCTGGAATTTTGAAGTTGCTTTAGAATTCCAAAAAAATGTACACGTACAAGAAAGTCGGGAAAGGAATGAAGAGTAACATTTTTACGAGTGCGAGATTCACAATTGCGATCTGCATAATATTTACATAAACATACAGGGAGCATAAGCCACACAAAAAATCGGAAAGGATTCGTATGTGACTTGTGCCTTTATGACGGATAATGACACAAGATCTTAACGAAATCTCGCGTTCGTGTCCTCCTGAAACTTGTACTTTTTGTAAATGTGGACAGAATAAGAAAATTGAAGAAAAACATTTCAAACGTCAAATTCAAATGTGGTTGTGAACAGCGATTCGTATGTTTGTGGAAGTAATCCTGTAATTTATGTGGTGCAGTTGTTGTTCTTCAGGTGTGCAATGCATGCATATCTGAATTGAGTTGTACTTACATAAAGTTAAATGTTGATTATGAAAGTTTTACATACTTTGTAACATTTCGAATTGAAACAAATTGTACAATGAAGCATGTTTCATTACAAAAAATATTCAATTCCGAGTGGCTTTGGATTTGTAAAAATTTCCATATCGAAATCGAAATATTTGAGTACAGCTCAAATTTCCAAGCATTTATGTACCTCAGCACTGACCGTAGCGACTTTTAGAGCACGATGGACCAATACTGCATAATAATGCATGAAAGTCTTAAGAGGATACAACATTTGTTTCCCTTGTTGGTGGTACAATGACTCATCCATTTGCTAAATAATGCTACTTAACTTTTCAAAGACTCTAGTGACTTCAATGCATTACTTAATGCTAATGATGATTTGATTGAAAAGCTTGTCAAATCAGGACCAGTGTCCAAAGATTCATCATTAATTACTCCATTCTTATAGGATATGGCCACAGGCAGTGTTCCTGTTATGTCATGGTTCATACACGTACGCTGCCCATCCTGATCAAGCAGCGTCTTAAAAAAAATGTCTGATCAGAACTAAATCGCCTTGTCTTAAAGAATTTCCTTTGTACAGGAACTTTGAATAGGTTTGTCTTTCAAGATACCAGAATTAATCAATGTACAAGTTATTATACCTGCACTTCCCACTTTCTCCATTTCTGACAGTCTCACTCACTCTATCGCGAATTTACAATTGTGTGTACGTACGTAGACACAACGAGTACCCAAGTCAGCCGCAAATTAAAGATTGTTATCAATCTAAACAAAGCCAATAAACGATTTGTTATAAACACAACCCGTGCAAAATAGGATACATATCGAAGCATACACATTTGCCAAGCAATCTTGAACAATAAATTGACTACGACATGTGCTCATCATGGTGTGCGTAGTACCTCCTCCCACTCCTTCATTACCTTGTTTGATAGGTGTCCCTTAATATTGGTCCCAGCAGTAGCACATTACTTCTTGCCACCGTTTTGAAATGTAAATTTTAAATCTCTGTGTGAATAATGGAACCAAGTATTCAAGTCAGTATTTAATGGTGTTGTGCCACTGAGTTAGTTGCTACCACCAAAATATTCTCATTGTGAATCTATTTAGTTGGTCATTGGTTCGACGGATGCAGCAGTATGGCTTCTGCTCTTCCTCCCATTGTTGGCCCTGATTGTCATTTATTCATCTTTTTAAAAAGTTCCTCTTGTTGGGCTACTTGTATTTGATGGTGTATGTATGCACTCTCTCCTCCTCTCACACAGGACAATCTCCAGTGAAGCATTGTTGAATAACAGCAATCAGTTAGGAAATCGATGCATTATTCTCACGCTTATGTTACAGATTGTATTGTCGATTTGATTGAAATCCCAGCTGGGTATCGTAAATATTGCGTTTCACTTTTGATTCTTATGGCATTCAGGACATAAATATATGAAATAAGTCCACAACTTTTCCTTTAATATTATTTTCACTATCAATAAAAGTGAATCTGTGTTGTGATGATCAACTTCATGTGAAGCAGGTCTTATGTATTTGGGGATTAAGAGGCATCGCTTTTCTAAGTGGGGAAGAAGGAATTCGGAGACATTAGAATATGGCTGAGGTTGCATCTTATCACGTCCTCGTTGTCGTCGTCGAATGATCTGCAGAGAAATGCAAGGAGAACCCGACAGATAGGAAATTGAGTCAAATTTATCAGTGTCAAACTGAGGACACGGGAGACTATCTCGTTGATTCACCATAGTTCACCGTTTTTTCAGAAGCTGCCTCAGACGATACAGCGTTTTTGGTCAAGTGTTATACGTACTTTTTGATACGGTCGCTCTTGATGTATGCAGCCAAGACGATGATGAAAACAATGCATTATGGATGGATGGATGGATGGATGAGGTGGGAGGGAGGGAGGGAGTTGTCGAGATATTTTGCCCGAGAGTGATTTGGTGAGTACATTATTCAATCTTTAACTAAACATGTATATACTTCTGTTATACTTTAAAATAGTGGAATTCCGATGCAGTCGGGTTCACAGTTTTATCTCAACAATCGAGCAAAAAGCAGAATGTGACATGTGAAAGTAAATGAGTTTTGCAATTTCGTCTGCTTCACTCACATTTAAATTTTCGATTTTAAACTTCAAGGCAGCAAAAGGTGGCAAATTTCTACAAGTTGGAGATTATTCGGGACAAAAAATGACACATTTTTATCAGCGTTTTTGGTAAATCTAAAATTCGAATCTTTTCGCGTCTGCTGTTGTCAGATGATCAGTCACTTTTGCACAGCTTTCTCCTCAGCAGGTCAATTTCGTTGAATTGTAGTGTGACGAAATTCTGGACGACATATGAGATGAGACTGCGAATCCATACTGCTCGAGGTGAACCTGGATGACAAACAGTTATTCGAACTGCATATTTTTGTATTATATAAATATTTCAACGAGCAAAATATGTTACGTAATATTATGCTTATTTGATTGCATAATTGTGTTTAATATATTTTAGTGATGCTTAAGCATTTTGTTGTGGAAATATTTTTCTCAACATTATCAAGAGTTATGCAAGCAACATGCCTAAACATCTTTTATCAAATACATAATTCAAGTATGGACAAAACAAAGCATAAAAATATTTATTTATCGATGAAGGGTTCTCCTTGTTGTGCTGATACAGTATTAGATTTAAAAGGCGTATGTTTTTCTGACCCCCCTTGGAGCGAAACCCTTGAACATCAACTTTCATAATACTTATGATGCTCTTTCTCTCTCAGTTTAAAACGGTCAAGGAGTCGAACCAAGCAGGATAAGACAACGTAATTGATTAATGACTGTGACAAGCCGACAGAGGAGGGGTTCAAGTAAAAAATTTAAATATCATCGCATCGTATATACATACAACACGTTCATATCCAGGATGGTTTCATGTTCAGTACTGCAGCCAGACTCTGAAATTCATCAGCCAGCAGTGTAATAAGGCACACATGACGAAATCCGCTGGTCCGTTTCGATCAGTTATCGGCGTTGAGTCGAGTTAATCCAGCAGGCATATCATCCAACTTTTAATGATCAATATGATCACATGTGAAACAAAGAAAGAAATAGCAAATAAACAGAATGCGATCACGCTTCACGTGTGCATGTGCATGACAGACAGGCAAGATTGATTAGCTTCGTAACTCGAACGACTTAACGAGAACGATGAGATACTTCAACCAGAATTGACACCTGCTAATGGAAAGACAGACACCCTTAAAAAACGACGATGGAGCCCAGTCCCATACACGAAACTCGCCCAACTCCACATGTACTTTTACATACATGTGTCAAGAGGAAAAAAAGAGGTTAAGATTACTCTGATAATTTTGAGAGTCGAGTTTTTTTAAGGATTGATCCCTTCCTTTAGACATTAAAGTAGAGTAGAGGAAAAGTGAAGCAATGGTGTCAAATGAAAATCAAGCCTTGATGAACATGGTGGTTCGGAAAAATGATGGAATTGAGAACCCCTGCGGGAGTCCTGTTCAAACTATCGCTTTCTAATTAGCACTGTACAATTGGACATCACCTTTGCTTAATCTCTCCATCGATAATTCGTACTTGGATTAATCACAAGCTGGCTGTTTCGATATGGCACACATGACTAAATATTCAATTGAATGCAGTCTTAATTTATACAAAAATCTGATCAAACTGTGTCATTCGATCACAAACTGAGGATGATCTCTACTGACAAAAAAGAGATGCTTATATACATACATATTTATATGAAAACTAGGAATATTCAGACAATATGGAACAAAAAGAATGTTCTTATTTATAAATAGGATTCGTCCCTTTTCTAAATGGAATTTAACCCTTTTTAACTACCTGAATATACATTATTTTCTCTATTGGTTAAAAAAAGTTATTGGTTACAAAATACTAAAGTAAGCATCCATTTGTAACGCATCACTGCACCACGTTGCACATTCAAGTAGCCATATTTTGTTTGATTAAATTATCTTCGATAAGAAAATTAAGAATGAAGATTATGACGGATCAGGCTATTTGCTCAAAAGCTATTTTCAAACCGGAAACAGTGATTGAAGTCAGAAGTCAATCATTCTCCTCTGGTAGAAAACAAATTTCAAACGCTAATTCTCAGAAATTAGAGTGGTTTACTACAATTGGATTCGGAATTGTGGCTCTGGTAAAGAAATTCATATTAACTATTATACCAATATTCATAAACATTTATTAAATTTTTGAATATGACGTACTGTTATTACTAGTGTTAAAAGTTGGTATAAAATTTTTGCAAAATTTCTGCTCATATGTAGGTGTTACTAACAGGGACTTACCATACAGTAAATAAGCTGGATGAGATTTCTTCAGAATTAAGGGATACGATGAGAGAAATAAAGAAAGAATAAAGGGAAGTGATTAAACCTCCACCTCGGTACGAATCTACCACGCAAAGTTATTGGAATGAAGTTGGTTGGTTTCTTTCAAAAATGTAAGTAATCAAGTTTTGTTTTATAGAAATGTACTTATACATTTTGACATAAATATGTCTAAAATTTGCATATGTTTTTGCAGCGCTCATGGCGAGTTCACACAATCTGAACTTGAGAAGATAATTACAAATATTATGCAAGATACCGACGAGGAAATGGATGCCTCTGAGATAAAGAAAAACGTGGAACTTGTCATGAGTCAGGTCTACGGCAAGGACCAAGGCTCATGAAAACTGAAAATTGACATCATCAACGCTATCATCGATTTGACGATATAGCAGCGTGTCTATTTTTGTCATACATTATTGTCATACATACATTATTGCATGATGTATGTATGCGTATTACATAATTTAAAAAAATCTCTCCACGATAATTCATACTTGGATTAATCACAGACTGTTTAGCTATGGCATATTTATGTAATTTCAATGTGTACAAAAAACCTGATTAAACTGTGTCACTCGATCATACACTTTAAATCCATGTCACATAGGCAATCCTTCATCGTGGATCTTATTGCGAACGAACAGCCCGTACTTTTCTGATCACCATATTCCCGAATTAGATACTTTTTGAAGTGAAAACAATTTCCCAATTCATCAACACTCTTGGTAGTACATAAAACCAGACAAAGAACAGTCAATAAAGGACATTGGATGAAAATAGAGACGATGAAAATTCTCTTTTGTCGAGAGAATTTATTTATTTGTACACCTGAAGGGAAATTGAGTCCATTTGGGTTTTCTTCTCTCATTCTCATTTCCTCCCCAATTGAAATATGCCTGTTTACTTTTATTTAGTGCGATTTCAATTTCAAGGGAGACAGCCAGCAACGTGTTTCGGATGGAAATGAAAATCAGCCATCAGTCTCCACCCGACATACATGAAGAGACCCTCCTCACGCCGTACTGACGACTTTGAGGCTCCACTTCCTTCTTAATGTCTTAATTAAATTTCCCCTTTGCTCTGTTAACTAAAGATCTTTGGAGCGATATGGCCTACACTCCGATCCAAATTATTTTCAACCTTCCTTCATCCGGGTGGGTGTGGGTTTGAAGGGGACAGATAACCTATCATTTACTAATGGCATTCGTCGTTGACTAATGCACTGTTTCATTCAACGGGTATATTTAGCTGGGAGAAAAGTGTTTTAACTAAATAACAGATAGTTGCGTGAGATACACGCGATGAATTATTAAAATCTGATAATGTTTCATGTAAACTATAATAATGACATTCTAATGAGCAGTAGGACACACACGAAAGGTTGTAATAAAAATGCACACTCCACTCGTGTATACTAATGATTTACCGATTTGTGAGCATGCATTACGTGCCGAGGTATTTGTATCGTGGTGTTGTTAAATTTGGTGCATTTAAATGTGCAGATGCATAAATATGTATGTAGGTGCATTACACTTTTGGAGATAATGTTACAAGTGAACGGACCTCGTTGCCAATACGCACATGATATAGAGCGCATTAAAATTTTAAAACAAGTTCCAGAGCATATTCTGCTTGTCAGTATGACCTAAAAATATTCACAGACCGATTGGTACGTATTTTTAGCAAACTCTTCTTCAAAAAAGATGAGTCGAGTGTAGGAGTAAGCTACAAATGTATGAAAGCTCGGGAGCATATCTCATGCTGCAACTTTCCTTCATAACTTTTCATTTCTTACTCCAGGCATAAAACCGTCAATCCGTTTGGTAATTTTGCACGGACAAGAATTTCACGTAAATTCCTGCTAATTTTTAATTTACCATCAAAAGTGACAAATCAAATGCAGTAACAGATTCACTCTTAAATTTTAAACGTGAAACCATTGAAAACTTTGCTTTGATTCTTTCAATTACACAACATGGATAAACCGAACGGGGACGGGACAAGTGCTTGTTCAATGTGTCAAACTCATACCGACAAATTCTGCGCTGGGTGCAAGAAAGCTTACTATTGTTGCGTCGAGCATCAAAAATCTCACAGGAAGATTCACAAAAAAGACTGTTTTCCAGCCGTTCTTAAATACAATGCGGATTTTGGGGGAAGATGTTTCACAGCCTCGAGGAATATTAAACAGGGGGAAACAATTTTTAAGGACAAAGCACTCCTCAGTGGACCAAGTGGAGCGGAAATGTTTTTCCATTTCATTTGTCTCGGGTGTTACAGACAGGTCAAGCCAGAGTCGACTTACAAGTGCTCCACATGTGGGTGAGTGCCTAACAAAATTAGGCTTATCCTGGAGGACCAAGGTCTAATTTTGTCTAATTTTTAGCTGGCCTATGTGTTCCAAACAGTGCGAGGAGGTAAAATGAGAATCCAAATACGACAGATGGCCATTATTCTTGTTATTCCATACAGAATAACTGACCATTCGTATCATAAATAAATTTTATCCTACAATTGTTCTTGTTATTTCAGATGGCCCACCATTCACAATTTGAATGTAGAATATTTGCAGCAAATAAAATCCAACCATATTTCAAAATGCCAGTCCAATACGAAATGGTGAATACGCTTCGGTCTCTTTTGTTGATGCTAATCGACCCAGAAAAATGGGGGCAGTTAGCCGAATTAGAATCTCATTCGGAAGCACGTGCAAAAAACCCGGACGCCGTGAGAGCAGTGAAAGAACACACGTTTTTTATCCATTCTGTTTGCAACCTGAGGGGTCAGTTTGATGCGGGAGTGATTGATCATATCGTGGGGATATGGGGGATTAACTCGTTCGGTGCGAATTACCCGACAGCCGGACCAAATCCGGGACGTGCTAGGTAAAGTTTGAGAGGAATTAACAAACCATTATCAGACAGAATTAGACTGTTTTGCACAATGCTAACCAACGCAAGATTAATACTCAAAACGATTACACAAAAGGACCATCATCACGAAATATGCATGCAACTGTTCATCCGAATCTCGCGATATGAATTGTTTGATGAATACGTAATTTTGTAAAAAAGAAAATATCTATTTTATTTCTCCCAATTTCACAGAATGGCAACCCTAATGTTCCCCAAGCTTTGTCTGGCTGCTCATTCTTGTGTCCCAAACACAAGAGGAATCCTGCTCGAAGATGTGAAAGCCAGCAATTCAGTCTGCTCTTACACAATGGAATTAATAGCAGCCCTCCCAATTCTGGAGGGGGAACAAATCCACACAACGTATGCTAATGTCCACGAGGGTACCATGGAGCGCCAAGAAATCCTCCTGGATAACTACTACTTTGCCTGCAAATGTAAAAGATGCAAAGATCCGTCCGAATTTGGGACTTTTTTCTCCGCCTTTAAATGCCTAGATTGTCAGGCAGGCTACTTGCTTCCTGCCGACCCTTTGAATCGCGACTCGAAATGGGAATGTGTCAATACGACGAAATGCAAGAACGGGAAGCCAACGACGTACACAGAGTTGAAGACGAAACTGAACAAGATCAAAAGGGAGTTACACTCGATTAACAATGGTGAACCATCCCTCTCAACAATACGGGAGCTGGAATCATTTTTACAAAATCAGAAAAAAAAGCTGAATGTGAACCACTGGTTAATGATGGAGACTGAATTCCTCTTGGCGATGAGGATTCTTGGATATTTGCCCAAATGCCAAAAGTCAGATGAGGAAGATTTGCTGCTCAACAGACTAAATGAACTTTGTGAACATTGTTTGTACATTGCTGACCTAATACAACCGGGCCATATTTCATACAGAGGTTTCTCTCTTGTGCATAATATGTCAATTATTTATACCATTGGTTTTATGACTTATTGCATTCCAGGAAAACTTCTGTACTGCTTGGCACAAGCGAAGATGAAGAAATTGGTGAAAGGGACAAAAAATGGTGGAGTGGAAATTATTCTTCAGGGAAAAGATGTCCTGGATCAAATTCAGCAATGTTCGAGAGAAGCCATGCAAATTATTTCAAGAGAAAGTGAAGGAACGGAAGATCAAATCATGTCTCAAAGACTAGCCAAAGATTTACTTCAAGTTCGAACCATGATGGATTTTATAAATATGAAGATTTGATTTTAAATAACACTAAAAAATTGTTATATTTATCTTGTAAATTTAAACACGAGTAAAAAGTATTGACACAAGTGTAAAATATTAAACAGTTCGTAGATATATGTAATGTGCATTGATTCATCAAAATGATTAACCTTCAACTTTATTTTGGGTGTTCATACCCTTGATTTTAAATACATGTTGCAAAATACTGCGATCCTGCGGTTAGAATGCCAACCTCTTTGAACAGTTTGACCATTTATGTATTTACATTACTCAATTTGCGTCAGTAAGTTAGTCCAAAACCTGTTGGATTGAATGATGTTAAGAAAAATACCGCTGGTATATAATGCTAATGTCAATCTTGCGGTGAAATGGGGTCGAATATATAAACGCATATAAAAGTGGGAGCTCGATGGATTAATTCGGAGTGAATTTCGGATCAGTGTACCGACAGTTCCCCACAAAGATGAGGTTCCTATCAGTATTTGCGATATTGGCTGTGGCCATTGCTGCAAGTGTAAGGGGCCATTTGATAATTTAGCAGGAAATTGCATGGCTAAGAAATATTTCATTATTTTTTAATCATTGTAGGAAGCGTCGGTGTTTAGTCGGTTGTATTTTAGCTTTGCGCCAGCCACGACCAAGTAAGTCAGCGAAATTTGTCAGGTCAAAGGGCACCCTAATAATTAATTGCACTCGATTAGAGCTCCAGTCACCACCACCACCACGAAGGCTACCACCACCACTAAACCTAGCACGACAACGACCAGAGCAACTACAACAATGACAACGACCACGACCACTACCACGGCCGCCCCTCAGGTGTTGAAATTTGAAAGGGGAGAGTTGCCACCAAACGCGGTCGAGGACGTTATGGCGATGATTGAAATGTATCCTCAACTTCAAGGACGAGAGGACGAGATTTTTAATGCATCACCTCCAGCAGAAGGTATCAAAATTAACTATACTTTCTTTGTTTAAAGTTAAAATTGTCTAATTGCTTAATTTACAATTTTAATTATTTCCTTAGACGATCCATTCATGAAAATGATGAGCTCCATGCCCCTGGAAATCCAGAATGCCGTCAGTTGCTTGAGGATTCTCATCGATTCTCATACACCAGGTAGGGACACATAATTCAAATAAATGGTATCACTAATTAACATGCATGTTTATTACGTGCTTGCTATCCGCAGGTACTGCATGGGACTTTCAGAAAGAAATTACCTGTGCTATTGCAGCACCGGCTATCCATTGATGAAGAAACGCCTTGAAATGATACACTGCTCTGACACACACTATGATACGCTATATGTATGATACACTGATCTGAAATAAACATCCCCTTGTAGCAATTTGCATAAAACTGTGAAACGTTCATTTCAAGCATGATTGATTGTATAAAATTTTAAAGATGAGTGACATAAATTCTGAAAACTGCATATTATGAGTTGAGTGAGACTTGGAAATGTAACGTACTCTGATTATTCGTTCAACTATTAGCGAAAGATTGAAAATTTCTGCTTGCATGATCTTGCTTAGGATGCTTCTCTGTTGCTAAATTTCCTTTAGTGGAGTCAAGTGGAGTCAAGTATCTTATTCACGCAGCCATGGTTTAACTGTATATCCATTTAAATTTTAATTAGCACATGTGTCTTACACTTCTGGTCTTGTTGGGGTCAGTTAACTTTGCTCGAGTCCAGTCCAGCAGTCGGTGCAATGCAATAATATCATAAACTTGTGCAGCTGAAATCAACTGTATTTCGTTAAAAATGGACGCTGATCCTTTACTAGAAAATTTGATGGGGCAGTTGGGTAATTGGAATTTTATGCTTTTTTTAAAAATAATTCAAAGATTCATATCTTAATTGGGTTTAAATTCATAGGTGATTTTGGAAATTACCAGAGGAGACAACACCTATTACACATTTTGTCCTCATTTCTTGCTGGAATTCACATGCTATCCTTGACCTTTATCGCTCCGACTCCAAATCATCGGTAGATAATAAACTTGCAATTTTACTATCTACTCAGCTAATAAAATATATGCATTTTATGTCGCCTTTCTGCAGATGTTTTATTGAAAGTCTTGATAACAACTCGTCAAGTTATGACCTCGGGAATTCTTCCATCCTTTCAAGTTATATCCCTCTCAATAAGGATGGAGACTTGGACTCGTGTCTCAAATATGTGTACGCGGACACAAATGAGACAGCCACTTGTAATGGGAATTACGTTTTTGACACGTCGTATTACAAATCGTCGCGTGTAATTGAGGTGAAAGCAGAATTAATGCGGGTATCAATATATTTCTGCTTGAACCGTTTTTTTATACGTAAATGCACATGTAGTGGGGACTCGTCTGTGGAGAAAGGTGGAAGCGAGCCTTGCTTCAATCCGTCTACATGTTTGGCGTCTTAAACGGGGCTGTCTTTCTGGGATCGCTGGCTGACACGTAAAAATCAGATGAAATTAATTGCTTGATTGAGTTAATATGTTGGACTGATCTCGTCATGCATACGTTTCTGCAGATTTGGACGAAAACCCATCTTTTACTTCTCGGGAATATTGCAACTTGTTTTTGGCGTTGCTTCAGCATTCGTGTCAAATTATTATGTGTACGCTGTTCTGCTATTTTTCTACGGTGCGTTTGGATCATCAGGGAGTTATGTCACTGGTTTTGTTTTATGTAAGTTCAGCTCAATTGAATACCTATTCCACTGAAAAAACCGATCCTGTAACGATACAAAATTTATGTAGCAATGGAATTGGTTGGACCATCTAAAAGAACCCTTTGTGGAACCGCTTTCAGCATTTCTTTCGCCGTTGGAGTCATGGTGGTCGCATTTTGGGCTTGGCTGATACCGAATGTGGAACTACTTCAAGTAGTTTACGGACTCCACAGCCTCGTCCTTATTGGACATTGGTGGTAAGTCGTCCAAATAAAATTAGAACTGCTTGACCAACTCGTTTGATTTCTATACTAAAGAAAGTGGCAATTTCCGTCCGAACAATTTCAGGCTGGTGGACGAATCTATCAGATGGCTTTGGGGGCAAGGGCGTGTGAAGGAGGCTGTCGCAATAGCCAAGAAGGCCGTTGAAATGAATGGAAAGCATTTGATTAATAATTATCACGATGGAAGAGCAGCCACGAATAGGGTTCGAGAGGAAGAGGAATCTTACGGTGTCATGGATCTCTTCCGAACTCCTAATTTACGTTGTCGGACTCTCAATGTGGCGTATAATTGGTGGGGTCCTGACACAAAGTGGAAACATTGTCACGACACATATGTATAGAAATCATTTACCTTTTTGTATCCAGGTTCGCCAATAGCCTGGTGTATTACGGGCTTTCTTTTAACATTGGAACTCTACCCGGAAACCCTTTTTTCATCCTCTTTCTCAATGGACTGGCTGAATTTCCGGGTTATTTTATTGTCATCGTATTATCTGACAGAACTGGAAGGAGGTCACTTTCTTCGTTGCTACTCTTTCTGGGAGGATTATCTTGTGTCGTCATTGCTTTCATTCCCAGAGGTAAAAAATAAATAAATAAAAGACCGATTAAATGCACCACCACTAATTACTCAATTTATGATTAGTTGATGATTAGCTTGCCTGGGCAAACTTATTAATTGCTAAATAATCGATTACGTATTTCCTATTTGATACAGGATCTATTGTCACTGCGATTGCGATGCTGGCAAAAATTGCTGTCGCTGGTTCCTTTGCAATCATTTATAATTTTACTGCAGAACTCTATCCGACCGTGATAAGAAATTCTGCAGTTGGAATAAGTGCAATGGCTGCAAGAACGAGTGGGATGATTACTCCACAGATTATTTTATTGGTACTTTTTGAATTCTTTGTACTTATAAATTTTTCAGTAAAGCAATTATTATACATTCCCTAATTTTATCCAGGATTCGATAGGACGGGAAATACCTACAATAATTTTTGGCTGTGTAGCAATCGTTGCTGCCTTTCTAGCACTCTTTTTGCCAGAAACACTGAACAAAGAAATGCCTCAAACGCTTGAAGACGGTGAGAACTTTGGCCGGGGTGACACAGGTTTTAGAACGTTATCCAGAGCGATAAGTCGTCGAAGGTATCGGGAAGCGGGGACAAGACTTCATCGTTAAGAGGAGACAAAAATTAAGAATTATGCTTATCTAGTCCGTTGCATTTTTCGTTTCTAATTAAAACTGGCCATAATTGAAATACTGTGTTTTTCATAAATTACCATTCGTTCATCTGATTAACAAAAGTGCGTAATACACGATGTGCGTGTGGTGTGACTTAATTTAACCCTTTTCAAAATTTCATTTTTGAAGCATTTCGAAGGTTTCGCATCGAGGTTTCACTCATCATCCGTCATTTCAAACAACTTTCACCAAGCCAAACTCACAAAATTCATGCTCAAATGTATACCACTCACTCAACAACCTCAGATACTAATCACCCTCATTGAGCAATGTGTCCGTTGCACAGCTCTACAAATTCTACAATTTCGGAACTTGACATGTGTTGTCGGTGATGGCAAAATGGTAAAATCTCAATGTTGCTATTTATCTAAATGGCTAAAACAAATCTCATTCTGCTTTTCACTCAGCTGCACATATTTAGCAGTCAACCCACTGTGGTAATAATAACTCATTATCAATTAAACGATCTCCAAATTCAATAAGTGTTCTCAAATTCCAACCGTGATAATAAATATGAAGGCTTATTTACTCTTATGTATGACGGGCCAGATAAAATCATACAGCACGTCAACCAACCAGTAGTAGGACCACATGGCACGTTAAAAAATTAACATTCGGCTTATTCCGATCAGACAATTGCTTCATTCAGCGTAACGACCCCATTACCCTTTTGGAGTGGTGGTGGTTGGTGGCAGTGTATGCAGACAGTGGCCGCGGAAGCATGGGGACAATATCCCCACAGTTGTTCGATGTTCCCATATTATATAAACCCCTCCCTTCCCTATCCTACAATGATAATGTCCCCACATGTCCCCACGGCTTCCGCGGCCACTGCCTGCAGGGCCACCAATTTTTTTATTATTGTCGCTTGGAGTGTGACCCCCCGTGCTTGAATACGCTATGAAGGATGAATGAATGAGGGATGAATGCTTATTGGGGTGGGGCGTCAACTTTCTCCCACTATTTATTGTGCAAGGACAATGCGGAGGAGCAATAAATGGTAATTTTATTGCATTTTAATAATGTGATCTCGAACTGCTTGCTGGGTTTTAATAATACCTGCAATATTTTAATATCTCCCTATTCAACTTTTATTTTATTTTATCAAGTGCCACTAGCTCTGGCTGTGACGAGCAATTTCAAAATTAAAAAGGGTGACACCCTCGACTCGATCCATGTGCAGTGCAACCCTTTCTCATTTATCAACTTTCTATTCTCTCGTATATTTGTAAAACGCATAAAATGCACAATTGTTCTGAATGAAGGGGTGAAATTCGAAATTGTCGTTTTGAGTTTGAACCGCATAAATTAAATTTTCAAGTTTTTTTTATTAGATTTTAGATAGCTGTTTCATAAAATGGAAAAGTGGTCTTGACTTTTGGCATCTGGTTTGCTCTACTAAATGTTATTCTGCTCACTGCCCGGTCGTTTGTGAGATGATATTGCACGAGACTTCTTTGACACTTGACCAACCATTGAGGAATTGCCGAACGAAATGTGCGCCCCGTTTGGAATTGGGAAGGGACGTCGAAGGTGAAAGTGACAGTTTGAAAAATGGTTCAACAGAATTGGAGAGTCTGAGAGTCCGGTGCTCCTTCTCGTCCTCAATACTTTTCCCGTAATGACACCCTTGAGACAAAGCACTCGTCAAGTTCTACTGCTTTTTAGTAGGAGCACCAGGAAGAATCGTACGATAAGTCAAGGGCAGGCGGGGTGGGAGGGAGTCACACACAGGGAAAGGTGGACGTGGACAGCTAGGGTTGAACTTTTTAAGTTTCTTCCTATCGCCCGACACACACGCACATTTTACGAGTATTCAAGGAGTCAATGTGCATTCAGAAAGAAAAATTTACATCAAACTACAAGCCAAAGGCAGAATCGATTCAATTTTAACCGGAATCTAGAAAAGATGCGATATTCCCGATATACAGAGCTATTTCCTGGCTGGACAGAACTACGGTATACTGAATTCCTCTACATATGCCCTCCTAAAGTTTCACTGTCCTCCCCGTTTGGTCAGATGCTCTCCCTTTTTGTCTTGTGTAATCTCACAGAAAATTCTCTCAACCGGTAAAAATGTCATCATCAAAGATTGTGTCCGGTTGATTGATAAGAAATTGCCAATGCCTCCATCCATCGCATGCACATATGTATCTACATTATAAGCTGCTTTCGTTCCCTGCACGTGCCTCGGCTACCACATTTTTCTAATCTTATATTCCTGGATAAACAAGAAGCTAATTTACGAAGGCTGCGTTTTTGATGTTATGTGACCCCTCCATCTTCTTATCCCGAATGTTAAGCCACAACACACTCTTTTCCTCTCTCCGTCTGTTGTATATTTTATTTTCACTCCTAAGCTCAAGCCTGGTTATTTGTTTCCCCACATTTATAGCTGGCTCAGGCAATACTCAGGCTCAGCGTATAATCTAACTTTCACCTCCCCAGTCCTCGTCGTCCGCGACCTTTCCCTCTCATCCAGAAGATGAAGACAATCCCCTCTGCTGCTTATAATATAATGTACAGATTGAACGTGAACCTGTGGACTTTTCCCCACGGTGCGTGCAACGTGGAGCAAGTTATGTAGGCAGGCAGGAAAAGTACAATGTTGAAATACCAAGCCAACTAAAGAACAATATCACGGTGCAACTACCACCTTCCTTTTATTCTTGGTGGACGGAATGAGATTGAGACGAAGTTCTAGAGCCTGTACGAAGTAGGGGCTGCTCGCTACTTTCCTTCCTGCTACGTAATAATTCAATCTAATCCGGTCAGGATTCAGATGAAAGATTAATCTGGACGGACTTTTCTTCTTCCTCTTCCCTCTCATGCATGTGCTTTCTCTCACAAACTCTTCCCTCTCAATTTTCCTTGGGCAAACATGGATAAAATTATGTACTCTACTAAAAAGTAGACAAATGAAAATGTAAAACTATTGCTACTTTCTCTTGCTGTCCTAATTTAAGTACATCATCATCTGAATAATTCTCTTGATGTGAGACAGAGTAAGTATAATACTGTGAAAAGTGATAAATATAAGATGGACTTGGAAATGAGACAAAGAATTGAAATTATTATGAGATGACAGTCTCTCGAGAGAGAGAGACAAATTGATGGCGAGATGAGGGATGGCGACATTTTATGCATGCATGTATCTAAGAATATTATTATTTCATGGGATGAAAATTCGGAGAAAGTCGGTTCAAGGGTGAGACATCATTAGAAGCGATATGATTATCCACTTCCAGTTTCGAAATTTGGGACGAGTCGCGTGGCCTGGCGTGAGTGCATACGTAATAAGTAGCAGCTATCATAATAATCTTACTAACCCGGCCCCTCGTCGGGTTAGGTCCTTGTCGCATGTCAGCTTGTAGATTGTATCACACCGAGCCAACACTCACATCTTTGTTCTAAATTGTGTAAGGGGGTTGACGATTTATGAATAATTTACGGCAACTTGGGAGAGACTTGGAGACTCGTAGAGTTGCCGGATCGAGATAATTTTGTATGCGAGAAGATGCATAAATTTGGAGCTGGGGGATTGAAAGTCAAAGGAATATAAACATAAACATATTCCCTGATGAAGCGTCAAAAATGTATGAAATGAGAAAGGCAATGCATTTCATTATCGTACGTGGCTCAAGCACATATTGTACACATACGTGGAGCAGAGGGGAGAAAGCTGACATGTGTTGCTGAAATTTCCAATAACGACAAAGTCGTGTATGTATATTAAGCGAAGGAATATGTAGACATGATCCGGTGAAAGTCTGGATAAATTACGTATTTAGGTACTCTTGACATGGAATCCTTTATTATTGCTCAAATATTAAGAAGCTCAAATGCGTTGGAGATTATTAAATAGTATCAAGGCGAGCCTAACCAGGTTGCTTGTTATCCATAATAAGCAACAGCTTATTAAGGGGTGAAAACCCCTTTATGGAAATGTCTTGTCCGTCTGTCTGTCCGTCCGTCCGTCCGTACCCACGATAACTTTAGAACGGAATCGAATTTCGGCATCCGGTTTTCGCCAACGTGTTTCTAATTTTGGGGGACGGGATGAGTTCGAAGATGGGTGTTGTAGGTCGTAAGGTCACGGCGCCACGGTGATGACGCCAACGGTCAAACGTGTCGAATTTTTCGTTTCCACCGTTTTAGACGTATTTTTGGATGGGGATTTCAGAAATCGCCATCATTTCGACGTGCGATGACCGTGTGACCGTGTAGACGACGCCAAAGTCGAAAATTGTCGAATTTTTTGTCGCCACCGTTTTAGACGTATTTTTTGGCGGGGATTTCAGAAATAGCCATCATTTCGACGTGCGACGACTCCATGACCGTGTGGGAGGTGTCGAATGTCGAAAAAATGACTTTTGTCATGTGGGGTGTCTATTGAAAGGTATTGTCGTATGCGTTTGAAGTACGCGGGTGGAGGTGTCAAAATGGGGCAAAATGAGACGTGGGGTAATGTGAGATAATAACGGGAAAGTGCAGAAAGACGTTGTGGGCGTGCCACAAAGACAATTCCGTGTGTTTTCACCCCTTTGCTACATTTCGTTTGCAACGGTTTATTATGTATTAAATATCGTCTGAAAATGTATGTAATAGATGAATTCCAGCGAGAGGGTGTCTGTTTAGGTAACCAAATGTAACGAGGATAACAGGATTATGAAATTATTTGATTAGGAAGGAAGGAAGGAAACAGTGGTCTAAAGTTCTTCAGTGACACTAAATTCGTCAATGGATTCATCAAACACGAATAATAAGCTTTAAACATTCCCCTTCATTTATCGAATCTTGTGGATTTTACTCATTCCATAGTTAAGAATCGTGTTGGCAGAAATTACGGATGTGTGCCTATTCTAATCCTCCGGACTGAATGGAGTGCTTTCAGTTGTGTTACGACATTACAATCAAGTAGTGAATATTCTCAATCGGGAATTATCGAATTACACGAAATTGCCCAATCCGTATTAGAGTGAAATATCTAGCAAGATTTGCTTTGCTACTTAATCACAATCAAACCTAAATACCTCCATTCAAATGAACCACAATATTACATAAATTGCCCGTGTTTTACTTTGGTTAATAAAATGCATTGAATTCGCCGGAAACTAAAAATATTAATGTTACTGTAACCCTCCTCTTTACCAGGATTAGCTTTGAGTGAGAACTTGAAAAATCTCCAGTGGTGGAAGAATCAGACAAAGGTTGACAAAAATATCAGCATGCCAGCACATTCATCTAGTGGGAAATTAGGGTTTTCTGTTGAGTTGAGCTGAATTGATTCTCAAAATACAAATTATACGTTGCTTGCTGGATGAGATATGCTATAAGAATCCGGACCCTTGAGAATCTTTTGTTCAAACAGGAGTGCAGGAGGGGACTGCATCCATGCACTGCCAATTCTCACACCGTTGAGTCAAATCTTTTATCATCAAACACCAGGACGCACATTGAAGGGAACAATGCTCACAAAGGGGTGTTGGTCGATGGAACATGCAGCGTCGTTGTTGCGAGATTTGACACAGCCAGCCAGTAGTAGTTTAAGAATTTAAGCTTTTCATAAGACCTCTTCACTGACAAAATGGAGCTGGCATGTAGATAAACTTCAAACAGCCACCAAAACCTGGGTGTACACCAGCGGAAGTAAGTCAGTAATCCAGACCCCATAAAAATTGGGTGGATGAAATCAAATTTCAATTACCAATATTGCGATACACGTGTGAAAATTGAGACTCACCACAAAATGTGGTTTGGTTTTCTTGGGACGTCTTGGACAAATTCGTTGCTTATTACCTTGTCAAATTCAATTATGGATTAGGTTAGGGCACACAATTCAATTAAATTCATCACAAATGAGCCATTCAAAAGTGGTGGAGAAGAGGTTTTCTCATCATCTTTCATATTCATTGTTGGTGGCATTCAACGTCTGTATAATTGGCACATTTGAGGAGGCAAATGAGCTCAACTTTCCGGCAGAAAAAGTACTGATGATGAGGGGTTCGAAACTGAAGAAATCATGCATGTCGTCGTCCTCGTCGTCGTCGCATTTTTCCAATTTGCTGTGAAAGCAGTCTCTCTTTTTGGACTAATTACTCTCATGTTTCTCTCCCCCTCGTCCTTTCCATCGTCAATCGTCATGCCCCAACTCCAACTTATTTCTTGCTTGCCCACTAATCATTACAAACTTGGACATTTCTTGGTGTATTATCATGGCAAAAACTGGGGAAATGAAGAAATATAGTGCTCCCTTTGACAGCAGGGAAGGAAACACAATACAACGCATTGTTCTACCCGCATCGGAACAGCAAAACTCACAAGTTGCAGTTCATTAATAACCATCTTCCCCAAAACAAATTGACCAAAATAGAAGAGGAGCAAATACATGAGGCCAAGTTCAAAATCGTTTTGAAGCTTGGGTTGTTTTTCGGTGTTTTGTTCCCAACAGACGAGTGTCATATAGTGCAGACTCCATCACTTATTTACTCCTCATACTAAATGAACCACACATTCTCTTGTTCCAGACCGACCAAACTACTTTGAGAGAAGTGGAATTTCCCATTGTGGAATTGCATCCTAGAAAGAATTGTACTGTCGGCGATGTAATTGTGCCGAGCTTGTGGATTGGGGGAGAGAAAGTATTACGAGACGATGATATGATGCAGGTCTATGAAAGTGCAACTGCATTTTGTCCAATTTTCTCCAAAGAATTCCGTGAGAAAGAGCAGAGCTGGGGGTGGTGGTGGCAGTGGCAATATTCTTTTTCACTAATGCACCGGATTACTGCCTCATCCCCTATTAAGACTATTATAAGCTATCTTCCCGAATTTATCGCTAATTTATTTTCATTTGCGCCAAAGTGAACTTCCCCCAACTTCTTTTATTTATAAGGAAAATTAGTTTCTTGGTCTTCTTTTTGGGGAAAGTAAAAGAAATTTTATTGCGACGACCTCACTCATTTATGAACATGAAATGAAGTAATGTAATTGCATCCCTTCATAATAATAAATGTTTATAAACCGTTATTATCTAGAAGAAATTCAACATGTGCATGCATTTTTCTTGTAAAAAATAAAAGAAACTTTGTTTGAATTTATGAAAGCGTTTGTGTTCACCATGTATTTTTAGATAAGAAAACGCAGCCGGTCCAAAATGCACTGATTGATAATGCATCTTTGTTTATTAGAGGGCCAATTATAAAAATTCCCTTTTCACTCGCACTAATAAACTAAACCCTCCTCTCAGGAGAGAGAGGCTTCCACAGAATTTCCCAATTTCAAACTAATGAAGGGTAAACTATGGGGTGAGCAGTGCTCTACAAACCAATTCCGACAAGTACGATGGTTTTGTCAGATTAGTAAAAGTCCCAATTTCTCACTTGGATGAATAAAAGACTGTTTTAGGGATGAGTCAAAAATGAAGCATGGGGAGTTTCGTGTGCTTTGTAAAAAAAATGTGGCGACAATATGCTAGCTTTTTTAACAGAAAATGCAATGTGCCAATCCTTAGAACGGCTGTACTTAAAAGTTAAAAAACATGTGTAACTTGGTAAATTTTTAAGCTTAACACGCCTAGTAAAATGAGGTTAAAAATGCAGTGAATTTTCAAATTGAGTTGGCACAATATTGCTGCAATGAAATCTTAGAAATTTATTTAAAGGAGAATCAAGAAATGAAATTCCAAAGGTTTTTTTAAGAAAGAAAGAATGAATTTAAGAAAAGATAAGATATTCAAGATAAGTAGCCAAGAGATAAAAGCATATATCACAATTTCCTTTAGTCTTTGTTATTGGGAACTGGCAGAATTGATGCCACAGGAGGTTGAGAATTATCTGAAGGGTTCTTTCCAGAATTGTAGGTCGGAACTGGTGGCTGAACTTGGGGCTTGTTCTCATTCAATGATCCCGTGGCCGCGGGGGTCTTAATGTCTGTGGGTACCGTATCAGTGGGCAACGCCATGGCACTGCAGACGACGAGCCCAACAATGGCGAGAATGAGCTAAAAAGATAGAAAAAATATTATAATTTTCATAATCAGACACATTAATTACTTGAAATTTTTAAAAACTTACAGCAGCCTTCATTTTTTCTGGGGTTGTGAATGTAAAGGTGTGTTGATTGGAATATGAAAACCTTCACTGACACTGGAAGATCCTCCAACGCCTTTTATATAGAACATGAACAAACTAATCCTAAGTTTTGGCAATGACAATACTTTGAGTACGAGTCATAAATTAACACTCATTCATTAGTCATGTATTACTATTACAAATATAAATCCTAATTAAATTGTCCTTCAACTTCACCTACGTAAAGCTTCGTTCCCTAAAACACGTGTAATGCAAGTCGCACGTAAGACTAGCAAATATTTAAACATTGAAATGCAAATTAAATTATAAAGTTAATTATCGACTTTCTGACTGTTTTTCAGGGATATGCAAACCGACGGACGGGCTCTAAAAAGTAAATGGACAATATTAGCGTAATTAAATAAAATATCAATCTAATTGCTTATCTCACCTTTTATATTTTAAGTAATTACACACGAGTTACCAAAACAGTATGCCATATGATGCCAAAAATTTACAAAGAGGCAAACCATGTATGTATGACGTCACTGCTAAATTTATTTGTTTCTTTATATTTGATAACAAAGTCAGAGTAATACCGTGACCAGCTAACTAACTTCTTGGACTAGGTACTTAAATATAAAACAGCCTTTACTTAAGATAATCATAATACGATATTCCAAATTTTAAATTCCTTTATATTTCCCAACTATCAGAAACACATAAATGTTTTAACTTGTCCTCAAACCTAATACTTTTCACGAGTTTTGTTGAAGCAGCTTCAAGTCGTTTATTTGTCATCCAGGTCTTATGTTTCTGCAAAGCTTGCGCATGGCCTTTTTCTTGTTCCTACGAAATAAATTGGACATTAGTAAAGCATTATTACCATTACAGAAACTCAAAACTTGAATCAAATTCTCGATAAAAAGCACAAACCAATGTTAAGTAAGGGTGACGTAACAGGAATAAGTTCTGCTCTTCAACCTTCAGACTTTTAACAAATCTGTCAATATTCTGGGCGTAGACATGATGGCCGAGTCGATGTTTTCTGTGTTAAAAAATAGTAATTAGATTAGGTAACTTGTATGAAAACGGCATATTTAATTGGTCCTATACTATGTACTATTTTGGTTGTAATAATTCTTTGAGACAATATTAGATTTTATAAACACACATTTTATAAAATGTTTAATGCGTATGAAGATTATACAATTTGATAAAATTACAATACTCAAAAAGTACTCAAAGTACTCAAAAATACGCATACAACATTTCAATTTCAATTTTATTTTAGCCGTCGCAGCTAAACCACTTAACTTTCACTTACCCCAACCAAATGTTTCCTGGAGGCATTTTCCTTCCTAATAATGTTAACGTAAGCCTCATTGTTTCGAATTTTATAAAACCTTTTAACAAAACTAAATAATTTTGACAAAAAGACTAAACTTATGAAAACAACACGAAAAAATTTATGAAAACAACACGAAAAAATTTATGAAAACAACACGAGTGAAATACGGATGTTAAACCTAGCGCTTCTGCAACAAAGTAATACGTGAGACGTGTTTTCGTGCAAAGGAGTGCAGTTACAACTTACAAGTTCACAATTCATTTCGATAAAAGACGCTATGTTTTTATTAATTTCGACTTTTAAAACGACTTTTTGACACAATTTCAGGATCCAAATCATAATAATAGTCTTCATTATTCCACGTTGATAGATTAGTCGCGGAGGGAACATCTTTCTCATCGTCTTCTTTGTACATGATACGACTCACCATTCTGAACACGACTTGGTTTTGGCTGCCTAATTTGGTACCTAATTTTTTAATAGTAGTATTTTAATAGTAGTAATTTTTAATAGTAAATTATATAATCCTTATACCATAAAGTGGACCCGTATATCCATATAAATCCCAACAATGGAAAAGCGTAATAGCGTTAATTGCGGATTGTTTGACTTGGGGAAAGAGCACTATAAAATTGTTGGCGTCGGCAGTTTCTAAATACCCTGAGCATTTTATGTAATCCAGTCCATCGTTTTGTCTACAAAATTGGAAAATATTATCAGAATTTTATAAATTAATTTGTTTCATTTTATTTATAAGTTCCTACATTGAATGACGACACCCATGAAATGCTATATGCAAACTGCACAGAGAGGAATTGACACGACATTGTGGTGGCGTATACAGCACGGCGTCAGAAAGCATGGACACTGTAGAATCTAAGGGGGAGATAAACTCCTCCTGGTCAACTAAAGTGAGACCATCGTGGTTATATTTTGCTCGACATGTTGTAGCTGTGATGAGATAGAATTTTTTTTAATTAGTTACATATGAGAAATTATGTGTCAAGTATATATATTTGGCATGTCGATACCGTGTTACCTGTGGATTCTACAAGTTCTCCATTATAAATGAAGTTTAGACCGTCATAAACCACAGAAAACGAGCATTTAGAACATCCATTTCCAGGCGTTGATGGAATACCGGTACATTGAATTCCGCATGTTTTTGAGGGCTATAATGTAGCAATTTGTTTAAATTTAAAATATACAAAAGTAACTTTGTAACTCAATAATTGTGAATAAGTGACCACTTACGATAGCATGGAGAGTTTCAAACTGTTCAAATTTCACATGATTACTGAACGCCTTGTAAAATTGGTAAACTCTGAGACCATTGTCTGCAAAACGTGCATATTTCCAGTCATTTAGTGTATTTTATGCATCGGTAAGTCGCACGAGTAGATCCATGACTTACCAAAGTGTATAAAAGCATCTTGAGTCCCGTGATAAATATAATGCCGCTTTTCCCGTAAATTGTCCAGCGAATCAATTAGTCCAGCAGTTGCATATTTTTCAGCACTTCTCACAGAATCGGACGTATTTCCTCGTCCTAGCAGGCATGGCATTAATGTGTAAAGACCTCCACTTCCACATTGGTAATGAACTGAATTAATTAGATTCATAAATATCAGTCAACACTGCGTGCAATCATGTCACATTGTTTATATGAAATAATTACTTGATGAAAACAATGCAACTCCATCCACATGCTTCGAATTCGCCAAGTAAAAATGTGTCGCAGCCGTTGCCCCGGATGAATGTCCAGATATCGATACCATATGAGTTTTTAGGGGAATATAACCTTATTAATTATTAATTGTTCAGTTAATTCAGAACACAATATTTTTATTCTCGCATAAATAAATTGCATGCATGTAACTTACTTAGTTTCTGCCTCGGCAATCCAAGTTTTTCGCGATGAGAATTTCGTTCACAATTTGCGACGACAATGATAATTACAACAATGACAACTACGTATTCCATACTCCACCGAAAATTATTGAGTGTCGTTTGAAGAACCATTTTGCCTTAATTAATTTTAATTTTAATTAATGAATAATTAACAATTTTAAATAAAGATTGAGAGAGAAAGGTGTCAAAACACGAGTCAGTCAGCCAAAAATGCTTTTGTACTAAATATGTTATGTTATTCTAATTATTTAACAAAACTGTACAGAACTACCTTGATATCTACCTACGAAGATGACAAACATTATGCACAATACTCCGAGTGACATTGAACTAATTATACTGAATGCTTTTATGATAATGTTCAATGCAACCAGACCTTCTGCTTAATGACACACAAAATTAGAATATAAAATAGATGACTGGCTAATCAAATGGCTGAGAACAAATTTAGCTTTTACAAAGGTTCCATTTCAGGGATGGAGATAGAGATTCTCGCCGTCACGTAGGACACTGGCTCTCGAGCTGGCACCCTCCAACCAGCGAATCGTCGAAACGCCCAAGATCGATGGAGACGACCCGTGAAGAAAAAACCTATTGCAAACCAAATCTTGTTATTATTGACCATTTGAAATTGATTTTACAAGGAAATAATTATTTGGCACTAACAGAAATAAATGTTTAAACGAAAAATCAAGCCTTCGAATGGGTCCAATCTCTCAAATTCTCGAGCAATTACTCTCGCTGCAGTCTGGATGTTGAAACGGTTCATAAATCGATGCAACTCTATCTCCATTGGGTTGGTGGATTGACAAATATTTTCTAAATAAATTCTTCTATGTTGATCTGTGCTATGCAGACACTTACAACTGACTGAACATTTAGCTGGTTAATGAGATTGTTCCGTATTTACAAAGTAACTAAATACTTAGATAGTTGACCTTTAATATATTGCCCCGTTATATTTTACAATTTTACTCTCCACTAATGAGAAGAATACTTAGTTAGTCGTGTACAACAAGTTCTGTTGCAGTTTACAGCCAACAATGCGTGTTAAGTAAATGCATGAATCACTCAGGGTACAAGTCGCGACAATACGCATTTTCATCCTTCAAATGACAAAAGGGTTATTTTTATTCGGTTTTCAAGTAGAAGTATTAATAAATGGGACTGTGTTTTGTCATTTTCAATACCAACCACGTCTAAAATTAGAGTAAAACATTAGTCAGTAAATGTAAATCTAGTTGTTCTATGGTCCATGAAATGAAAGTATATTTTTACCAGTGGCGATTTACAAGTGCAGATATTTATTAAAATATTTAATTTGAAAGGCATAGCCCAGTTTAAACAGAGCAGTAAATACATGCACAATTATTTTCAGCATGTTGTTAACTACTCGTGAATTTTTTATATAAAAGGAAATGATGATATTCCACAATTCTGCCAAGCATGCTTGTTCACTTTTTGGTCTTGATTAATTCTGCGGCATAATCGCCGTGTCACTGAATACTCATCATGCATCACCCTCTCGTCAAATTTAACTACAATTTTAACTGCACCATAAATAGCAAATAAATGATGATGCTTAATGAAAGCCATGGATTGAAATATTATTCAGTTGCAATTTAAATGATTGCTGGTCTGATTATTTAGTTTTTTTGTAGGCAGTGTGATTTACAAATTTTTAAAGAATGAGAAGTAAATTCAGTTTTGTTGGAGCCTTTTTTATTTTAATACTCAACTCTTTCGCAGAGTCTTTTAGATTTTATGACCTCCCAGAAATTAAAGTAGAGAAATGGATTGCTTCTTCGGTTTGGGAACTTGAAGAGAATTTTGAACAGTGGCATTTCGAACAGTGGAACTCTGACTTTACGGATATTCCTCAGGACGCGATTAAAATTATTGAAAGAGGTGCGACAATAGTTGTTTCGCAGCATATTTCAGGGTTGGGAATTGTTTGCAATGCTTCGTACCCTGTCGAATGGACATTTGATCAAGCCGAGGTACGGTCTAATTGCTATTAGAACATAAATATACAGATGTGCAAACTATTAAATATTTTTTAGCATGCTGACGAGGAAGTTTACAATATTTTTATGAAAACTGCTCGAGAGTCGCAGGATATCAGTAATCCAAGGGGTGATCGATTCATAGCAATTCTTGAACTGTTTGGCGATAACCCCACGATCACGGGAAATTACACGTGTCGAGGATTGAATACTGGGATGGAGAAAAGCGTTTTCGTATTTTGGGATGGTCAGCGTTTCAATTATTATTTAACAGAAATTTGTCACTTAATTGTAAATATATTTATAGGCAGCTCGCCACCCTTTCTCACTCTTTCGGGACGCACAGTTCATGTTTATCCAGAAGATAACAAGTTAATACTTCCATGTTTCGTTTCGCAGCCTGAGATACCGGTTACTTTGAGCTATGAGACAAATGGCGTAAATTCTACAAATGCATGCAACATTTTTAATTGCCGTTAACTAAGAAACAACTATTTAACAGACATTTCAGCAAATTTCTGAAGGAGGCGGAGTAAAATATGATCCCAAGGTCGGATTTATTCTAAATTTGAACGCATTTCCGAATAAGGAGGCACACGCCCGGTATAAATGCAACACTGAGGTGGAAGATGATGAAGTTAATCTTATTGTGGAGAGGGGTATGAAATTTAATAAATATAATTTCCTGGATAAAATTTATTCGTATCAGAATATTTTAGGACTCCGACCACAAAAACATTTTACTGAACTCATCTCTCCCGGAACTGGAATTTTCTACGATCCTGAACAGTCAGCGATTGTTTGCTGTGCTCGAAAAGGACAGCCTCCACCAAGTCTGCATAATATATTTTGTGTAAATCCCAGCACGTGTAAAATGAAGGAACACAAATTATACCGGGTTAGATCAACATTTTGAATTTTATCCGATTTAAATAGACATTTTTCGGTAAAAATTTCCTTCGCTTAGGCCGGTAACAATGGAAAGAAGATTATCAACGGAAGCTGTATTTCTGATAAGGTGTATATGCGAGATTACGGAATTTTGCGGTGTAAGGGAGATGGAATCGATATATTCAGGACAGTTTATACAGACTTTGGATCTTTGATTCAAGAACCACAAGGGATTTGTATGTAGTTATTGCAATAATAATAAGCATCAAAAGAAGGTAAAATTACCACTAAATTTACATATTTCAGATTTTAACTTTAAAGACGTTGTCCCAGAAAAAATGATGCATTTAACTGTTCATGATCATGCCCCATATTATCACATGCAAACAATCTCTGTTACATGTGAGGGAATGAACTCGTATTTTTCCGATGGTCATAAGTGGTCAGTCCGATGGAGGAACAATTCAGTGACGAGTTATCAACGTGAGAAATGACAATCAACTCACTAAATTGAATTAATGCCAAAATTCCAACTCTAACATATTTATCTAGCGATCGAATATATCGATGATGCGCACATTCACGGACTACGTTTCGTAGATGTCCACTTACATTGGAAAATGCTCGAATTAATTTGCCACATCCCAGTTTGGAATACTACCGATTGGGTCAGCAGATCTGTCAAATTGGATGTTCAAAGTTGGTGGAAGCTGAACATTTTTATGCCAAAATTCTTACAATTTTCAAAAATTCTCAATATATTGTTTCAGAATCATCCCCACCAGCAATAGCAGGCGAATCATTGCAGCATTTCACCTTTGCCTTGAACGAGACAGAAAAACTGCTCGAATGCAATTCTGCAGCTAAACCAGCAGCTTCAGTGACATGGACGAAAAATGGGGAAGACATCCCAAAAAATATGATAATTTTAAACGAATCTGGAACCTCGGTTATAATGATTCGCAGAATTACTCACGATTCAGCAGCAGAATACAAATGCATTGCGAAAAATATTGTTGGCGAAACTACAAAAATTATTCGTGTATTTGTGGAAGGTAATAACTAAAATTATGCAAAGACACGCACCAAGGAAAAAAAATACGTAACAAGCGTGTTCAACTTTAACAGATAATTCGTCCTCGTCTTCGTCAGCTTGGGGAACTACTGCAGCCGTTTTGGTGCCATTGTTGATCGTTGGCTTCGTTCTAACTGCAGGAGGATTGTTCTGGAAAATGCAACTTCAAAAGAAAATTGTGAATCATTTGTCTCGTGTGGTATTTAGAGATTCTGAACGACAAAATGAGTATCCGGCTTGAATGAATGCTTATACTGGCAATTTTATTTTTTAACTTGGAGTGAATGTATAAAAAACATGGAATAATAAAAGTTAATATATTTCAAACGCTTTACTTTGTTCTTCGTGAGTGCAGGACATCTAGAACCCAACTCATGAAGCTAGTAGAAACGGCTTTTCAGAGAGTCTTGTAGGGTGTACTGGGGTGGATGCATTTCAACTGTCCCTAGGTTTGAGTTTTCAAATGGTGCATGTTGGGTACCTTTCCAGCTTACTAAAACCTTTTAGACCCGTATCGAGACTAAATAAGCCTAGTTTTATCACAGCTTGTGATGAAATTGTGATGAAATTAACTCATAATTTTGGTAAAATTTCCTAGTAATGAATGAACTAGTCTCATGATATTTTTCTAAAAATATTTTTTTACATTACTACCCAAACCGATTTTATGATCTCACTTTGAACCTCGATGCATAGAGGAGTGAGCAGGAAGAAGAGGATGGAAGAAAACCGAAAGTAATGACTCGAATAATTATGAACAGCCCGAGTTCAGATCTGAGACAAAGAAGCAAGTGAGGAAGTCTTCTTCCTACTAATAGTAAGAAAAGAGTCGATGGTGGTCAACCAAAGCGGAAGAAAGTGACAAAGCCAATTAGTCTTCACGTTTTTCAAACGAATTGGAAACAACTGCAAGTCCTCATATACTGGACTTAAGACAAGGCACATGTTTCCTCATTATTGCGAGACCCACCAAACCCCATGCATTCTTAAATTTAAGGGAATTTAAGGGCTGAACAACAACACCCAAACCTCAAGCTCGTCCCATCATCCATTTAGCCAACTTGGAACTAAAAGGGACTTGAGAGACCTCATACTACGAAATAGGAGAAGAAAATTCACCTCTTCTAAAGCAGCCCATACTTGTTTCATTACCCATTAAATTAGTTGTAATGATCTCTCCAGTTTTAGTGCACAGAGTGTCGTGCAGAAACATATAAGCCGACGACGACGACGACCAATTCGACAATTCACTTTATGCCTACACTTAACCGTAGTACTCTGCTCGCATCGTCGTATCGGTTTTCCTAAACGGAAAGGCTGACGACTAATTTTGATCTTTTGATCTGGTGCAGATGGACGGACGGGAAACAAGAGCAACTTCAATGAGCTGGGCATTAGCGGTGGTCACCAGGAGTCCTATGGTGACACACTCTCATGAGACTACTGCTTGCGACCACCACTTTCCAATCCATTCACAGGGAATATCCATTATGAACCATTTTCTAAAATTCCACAAAATCCCCAAGGGCCGATAGATACATGATCCAAATTTGAAACATGATTTAGATCTTAGCAGCAAAATCCTTTAAAAATTGTGAGCAACTGCCTCCGCGACTGTCCTTCCGGCAGAATCTGTTGTTGTGTAACTTGGTCATTTTAAAATACACCCAACAAAACCACCGGGTTCTCCCGATCGCATCTGATTCAGCTGCTGGTCTTCTTAATTTGCTTAACCTTTTGTGGAATGAAGATGACGGTGCGAAAGAAGTACTTACACAATTACATTTTGCTTTTATGTAGCTCAGTCTCTGGCCTGCACGACGGAGGAGAATTTATTTTCTTGATTAGTTGGTTACAAAACAATTATCTCATTTCCCAATCAGAGCTTAGTTAGGCCGAGTCTGAGCTTAAATTACAATTTTTCTTCCTACTTTTGATAACAATCTTTCTTAAATCCTCAAAGCTTTTGCCAACTTATCTTTGCCTCTATCGGAACGGTCGTGGTGTTGGTGGTGTGGGCTCACCCTAAACTTTTCCTACAGCGATAAATATGTTCATACAGGAAAACTATAGAGCAGATGAATGCCTGATTCATACGCGATGGTCGGTCATATCTGCAAAGAAATCAAAATCTCAAAAAGCCCTTTCTTTCAAACTCTCTCAGATCCAGAGCATTTGTCGCACTCCAGATCTAATTCTAACGTATTGCATTGTCATCCAACTAATCATTGTGCTTACCATCGAAGGTTTCCATCCAGGTTGTTCAGCCCAGCCAATGTTCTGGTTTGGGACAGGTGTTGTTGGTAGATAAGTACTGTGGTAAAAATTGTTGGGAAATATGTTTCCCCATTAAACTATGAAATCTATGTATAATTCTGTAGGTAATGCAGACTAACTAATCGGAAGTATGCTTGTTTTTCGTGCATTTTTATCTGGATTTCCACGAATTGCAAAGTTGCATCGAGAATAAACAGCCGCAAAGAGTTATGTATGGTCAGATTTTCATCACAAATTCCGATAAGATTTAAAATTATGCTAAAACGTAATGAGATTTAAACCTGCAACACCATCATGCAAATGAATTTCTAAACTGGCTTTATTCTTCACGCCTCCCCAAAAACTGCCCTCCTTCCCTCCTCCTCTGTCTGAATAATCTGCCCGTAAATGGCATCCCATCCTAATTAGCATCCCTTATTCATCCCTTTATAAATGTCATATTACCAATGAAAGTGGCTGCATTTGTGAATTTACGATCATTTATTAAACATGAAGTAAAACTGAACTGTTCAGAGTAAATAAATCTGATATGGGCTGGAGAAGTTACGTATTATTAATGCCCTCATCCAAATCTAATCCATCCTGAAAAATAGGGCGATGGACAATAACTGCATGCGTACATGCAGATGCAGATGCACTTCTATTGCATGTGTACATACAGTCCCCACCCTTGGAAAGCTAGAATAAATTCAAATTCAACGGAACAATAGGGCTAACTCCCTTAATCCCTTAGTTTATTAGCTTCTATTTAAATCGGCGGCCATTCCCTTCGTCAGCCATTCTCATCTCGCTACTATCTCGATAAGATAGTTGCCAGCAGTTAATAATTCCATTAGGTTTTAGTCTGTTGCATCCTTTAGACGCAACATCTGTTTGCTTTTTGATAGTGCTTTTGCATTACAAAACTAAATCGTTATCAAATCCACATGCACTAAATAGTCCATTTTAGAAGTAAAAAAAATAATAAGAATTCAAAAGTATGGTCCCCAGTCAGACTGGTGGTTCCATCGCTCATCATAATTTCTATAAAATAATGGACTCCAAACTCACTCAATTATAAATCTCTTAAAAACTTGACACAATTTTGTCCTTTTCGTAAAAATGGGAAATAATGGATTTTCACAAGGACCGTTACCAAGTTATACTAATACAAGTCTACTTGATGCATCTTTTTTTAAGGGTCTTGATTTGACATTTTTCAACTCATGAACAATTTATGAACGGTGTGAATGGTAGATTGTACATAAGTTGACTTGAACAACTTTTAAATGCAGTTTAGAAAATAAAAACCATTGCATAAACTCATTATCATTGGGTGCTAGCTTGCAGTTGGTGACCCTTTGAATGGATGCAACAACTGCAGTTGCATATGAAATATAATTGCGAAAAGTTACACGGTGTCCTTCCATCAATCTTCCTCCAACGATTCATTGACAACAAAAGGATGAGCAAAGAGAGAGAGAGTGCCACGGATGACACGGTGTGGGACCTCTATTCATTTTAAGTTTAATGAAACAGGGTCATTAGTGGCTATGCTTTTACTCCCTGTTTACAAGTCGTATCCCAAATCCAGCAGAAGAAAGGATGACCCTCTATCTCTCACAACCGGTCCAAACTTTCCTCCATAAGTTAATGGTTCTCATTTGATTTTGTCATTCTGATATTCCTCACCAGCCTTTACACAGAATTATGATCCGATACAAAATAAAGGAGTAAACAAACTTATGCACACAGCCTTCGTTACTTAATATCTGATGCTCCCATTAAAATAAATTATTGCCCGTTTGGGATTAGCTTTGTCAAATCGTTGAATTTGGGCTCCACATAATTAACACAGATTGTTTCCCCTTTTTAGGAAATTCCCAACTAATTCGGGTAGTTTTGCAGCAGCAAAGGGATGTTTTCAAGTGAACAACAAAGGGATGCGCGGCTAAGATAAGGAGCTATAATATTATACTGGCTAATTTAATTGGATTTTGGGGTGTCACATTTAGGGTGAGAGGTAGTGTGGCAAGAATTGTGTGCATTTAAATGGCCACCCTTCTTGATATGCAAGCTCTAGATAATATTTCGTCCTTTTTTACTCAGCCTATTATAAGTAAATAAATTACCAACACGAGAGAAAATATGGTGCTTATTTACTTATTGTACCAGTTGAACAGAATACAACTCTCGAAACACGATCAATTCGAGAGAATAATAAAATGAAATAAAAATTCTTCCTGTTTCACAACAAGAGATATTCACCATCAAAAGAGAGAGATCCAAAATAAGAGGGTAAATTTGTTGGAGGATTTTTATTGCCTGCTTTGCTTTGTTGTTACCATAAGCTGTGGGAAATAGGTAAGTTGCCCAAACTGGGGCCAGATTAGCGTCACATTTATCACACAAATTTCTTGTGATATCAAATATTAGGAAATATTATGCCCTCCGCCTTATAAGGTCTTTTATATTTTGAAACCATTTTATTGCGCTATGAAGAGGCCAACAAAAATCCAAGAAATTTTTTTATTCAATTATGGAAAAATTGTAGAGAGAGAGAGTATGCCCACCAGGATGAATGTTGACGATATATTTGAAACTTGTGTGGTTTTTATCCACGGAAATGAACCGTTTAAGCATTATTTTATTCCCATTACCACCATTTCACGACTGTATTGCTTTAATGAACTGACAAAGCGAGCGAGTGGGGTCGTTTCAGCTTTTTTTTATTAACCCTTTATACTGTAACGACGACAATAGTCGTTTTATAAGAAATGGTTTAATTCGGGAGTACGACTAAAGTCGTCCTGAAAAATCGTGGTCATGGAGCGGAAGGAAGACAATTGTCGTTTCTAGGAGGTCATTGATTTTCACCATTTTCTCTCTGCGACCTAAAATTTGTTGCAATTTTGAGGGATTTCTCCTATGCCAACACAATGGAAAATTTGAAGATTTTCTTCCCAAAAATTTGGATATTTCCCTATACTACTCAATGTTAAATTTTTGATTTTTCAGTTTTTCGAGTTTTATTAAAAACTCCTGAATTTCTCCTCCCGCGCCATGACCAC